ATATGAGCGATTTGCCAAATGGGTCGTTGACCGGCGGTTCTCGATCCTAACAGTCAGCCATTCTTAAGCAGGGAAATAAACGTAAGTAAAGTTACATGACGTTTCGACGACTTGATGTCATCATTGTCTAATGAATGAATTAAAAATAACGGTAAGGCATATTTATAGTGCTTAGGATGTGAGAAAATGAAATTAGCAAATGTTACATTAACACATTCATGTAAAAAGGGTCGTGCGAACGGAATGCGCTTGCGTGTTCAGTTTCTTAATCAACGGCATTTCAAAGGTTAAACATTCGAGTTTGTCACGGCATTTCTTGAGGACTTAAAAGTTCTTAATCAAGTTGTCGGGTGTTAAGGCATGCTCGACCCTGAAATGGTTTCCGATTACGGAATGTATATGTTCTTCTACGCGTTGATGGAGGTGGCGTTGGCTAATTTCATTTTCTCACATCCTGTGTACTATAGATATGCCTTGCCATTATTTTTAATTTATTCATTCCACAATGATGACATGAAGTCGTAGAAATGTCATGTAACTTAACTTGCGTTAATTTTCCTGCTTAAATTATTCGTCTTATTAGTTAAATGCGGTCTTTGAGACCAAATAGGACTCTTGGTCATTAATGATGATTTCTTTTAGACATCGCCTTTGCCAAAAGCAAGGAACACTTTACGTTAGCAGCCTTGCTCAGAGGAGGCCATTTTACCTACGGAAATACAAAATTGGCCTCGGAAAAGTACGTTTTTCATGAGTAACAAATTTTACCTCAGAGGTAAATGAGCAACATGGTTTTCACTTCGTATAAATATCCAGGGTTTTAATTACTGTGATTAAAGTTTACGATGCTTTTCTGGGTGAGTCTCTCGGATGATTAATAAACAAGAATGACGCAGAGATATTTGCGCTTTGCTTCCTCGTCGTTACTTTTGCTTCAACGCCTTCAATAATGGTGAATAACAAGGATGATAACTGACTCTCCTTCAGATCATTTTGGGGGGAGTTCAGAAATTTTATGATCTACGAGAGTATAAACGATTCAGTGAAAAATCACAATTTTCGACAAGTAATGTGAAATTCACATACTCACAAGAAATGTCCAAAAGACCCTCTACACGCGCACAGTACCTGACGTCTGAAGAGAGGTCCGTTAATTAGCAGATGATCTTGCTTCTCATTGGTTGGTTTATTTGGGCACACTAGGGGCGCTTTCCATTCAACCAAAAATTCCGAAAGTTTCGAAACGAGGACATATGGTAAGGAAATGTCCTGGGAAAGTTTACAGAAAATACGGAAATTGTTGAATTTCAGAAAAGAGTGAACTATTCAACCGAAAATTCCGGACATTCTGTAAGGAAAGTGAGATGGAACGGAAATTCCAACTAAGAAATTTTGGTATAACTCGCAAGATTGTCCTCTTTTTTGGAACTGATTCCGGAAAATGTTGTTCCATTCATCAGTCATTCAACTGTGTAGATTTTCCCGGGGAAACTTTCCCAATGCAAAACTGGCTACATATAAGAAATAACGGAATGTCTCTTTGAAAATTACTTTTAAAGTCATAGGCAGAAAAATTATCTTCTACGTGCTAAAGCCAAGGAAAACCTTGCATTCCACTAGATTCCCCTTAGTAGAATGGCTTCGTGTAACCGCAACGCATTTGAAACCCAGTTTTCTCAAATAGACCCACCAATAGAGCGTTTTCACGACAGCTATATTGGTATTTCAAAACAATGAAACGGCGGCCATGTTGGGGTACCAAACCAATCCTGTGCATGGGAGTTCAACTCTTTTGTTATGTAAACACTTTCTTTTCTTCCAACAAATTTGCATGGCTGCTGACCCCGTGAGCGAAAACATTATACAATTAAAGGACGATAAGCATTTTCTCAGGCACGGTGAACATGTAGAATAATAATATTGTTTTCATCCTCTTTTTATTTGGTTGACAATTACAACATTGCCCCCGCCGCAACAGTAAATATAAAACAAAGGAGCTACTAATAAACACCTCTCGATTAGAAATGTGATAATTGTCTCTCAGCAAAGTCATTTAGGACATCGAATTCCCTGGATAGGTCTAGCCTGAGTTTTTTTGTAACGGAGACTAGTGAACAGCGCAAAGGAAGACGTCGACACGTCGCTCAGCAATCCAGCAAGTCAAAATGGGATCCTTTGGAACAAGAGATTGTGAGGAGCTCCAGGCGATGAATATGGATGAAAGTGAAGAATGATCATCGCAGTTAATTTTCCAATTTAAGCAATTGGAAAGAAGAAGCCTGAA